TAACATTAATAGTAATAATGATAATAATAATAATAATAATAATAATAATAATAAAAAGAAGAAGAAGAAGAAGAAGAAGAAATCTAATTAGAATTAAAGTAGTGTAGTGAGCTGTATCAATAGAAATGATTAAAAAGGTGTATTTTGATCCTTTATAAAGTAGTGCGAATACAGCATTCAAAGTTGCTAGCAATTTATAATTATTAACATTCAGATTTGTATGTTTCTAGGTAATCAAAACTCGGTTCCGCAAAAGGATTTACGTTTACGTCAAACTAATAGCACCTGCCTGAGAAACTCCTCTTCCTCAGGATCTTCTCAGGATGTTCGGGACTCGATGTCCAGTCCACTGAGGCCAGTCAGTTATACACATTCGTCACAGCTCCCTCAAAGGTATATTTCGTATGTACAATAGCGCACGGTTAAAACATCGATTTGGTAGCCAGCATGTAAATTTTCGGGTACGGGCGTAATAGCCAGGAGATTAAGCCAGATTTCAAATCGAAGAAGCGGGGATAGGTCACGTGGCACGCCGGGACTCTGGTACAGCGGTGTGGGTCGCATAACGGATGTACATTAAAATTCTGAACTATAACGTGACGCGACGCACTGTGAGACAGATGCAAGCCAAGCGCGATAAGAAAACATTTTATTTCTGACATATTTCTTTCTTTCATACAGTTCAAATACATATTTGGTATATTTCTTAGCTTTTCCTGATGCTATGCCACTTGTACAATGACTATTTGTATATTTTCCGATTGCGAGTAATTTTTGAGACACCCTGTATGCACGTATATAGCATGTAAATATTGCTACGGTACGTTATTCGAGTAATGAAACATTCAAAAAATAGAATATTCGGATATTGGAGTATACGGGAGGTTGCCCTGTAGTCAGAACGACTCTTTATTACACACAGATAAAAACTAATCTGACAGAAAACGTCATCAATAACTGAAAAATCACATGACGGGCGTCGCTGCCGATTATAATCTGGTTTGACTTCGAAACCTCATGACAGACGTTGCCCAGTGGGGTTAAAGAAAGGAACCTAAAATAGTTTAGTCAGGAATAAGAGATATCGTTAATGCTTGGGGACTAACAGATGGGGTAAAATGAATTTCTTTTTCAGAAGGTCAGTTCATTACCAATCAACTGGTTCGTTACACTCGGACAGTCCTAGTAGTAGTAGTGTTTCTCCGGTGCCATCTCCAAGTCCTAGAGCCACGCCACTGCCAGTAGCCAGGTATGTCTCATCAAATCAAATTGAATTAACGTTTATTTCACCGTTCGGTGTTCTTGTCTTTTAATTGGAATTACATGCTTGTACATTTATTGCACTCACTATGCTGACATCGAATAATTTCGACGTTGTATGTTAATTTGAAAAATTCTTTTGCGCGATGTTCTGTCTTTACTTTTCTGATTTCAAGAAAAGTAAACATAGGACGTATCCTCTTTGCGAAAGCATATCGATAATTTGTAAGCTGTCCTCATGTTTTTTTTTTATATAAAACAGGCAATTTTCGACTTAGGAATGAAACAGTAGGTGAATTAATTTACTGTATTTTGAGAGGTCCAATTCAATATACATATATCATCCATTTACAAATTAAATTCACCTATCGTTTATTCAAATTCATCTTTTTTTTAAATCAAATTCACCCTTGTGTAAATCGAATTCATCATGTTGCAATGATGTCAATTATGATGTCAATTAGAGAGATAATTTACTGTATATTTATATTATGCTCTCGACACATTCACAAAGTTAATTTGTTTTGCAAAACGGTGTATTTGATTTGCAAGAAGATGAATCAGACCTGCGAAAGGAAAAATTCAATTTAAAAAAAAGGTGATAAAATATATAGGTATTACAAACATGTTGCGTTATCAATGAACTAGTAACAGGGTATTACCAAACTCCTTTTATCTTTACTTATTTTCTAGATACTAGTTTATCACTTTAAGGAGATTACAGAGAATTTAGCTGAGTCCATAGGTATCTTTCATCTTTAAACAAAAGAACGACACTTGCGACATAGAATAAGATAAACGTACAATAATCATAAACATTTAGGATAAAGGTATAAAAACCGAATTA